AGGGCTTCGATCTTCAATTCAACGTCGTTTCCTTCGAGGGCTTCCTTGATCTCGTTGGCGAGGGCGGGGGTGCCCTTGTCGAAGTGGACCAGGAGAGTGCAGGACTTCTCCATCATTAGGAAAGCTCCGAAACTGGGATTGGATCTCGGCGGATCCGAAACGGGCTACGTCGGATCTAAATCGGAGAAATGCGGAGGAGGAGATCTGGGTGTCTGTTCAGATGGAGGGGGTTTGGTGTTGGTGGACTAGAGAGAGTGCGGTGGGGGCGGGAGTGAGACGAACAGTTGGATCGGGCCGAAGGAGATTGGGTTGGGTTGGGTCAAGGAAAATTAGGTTGGATTGGGTTGGTTTTGGTTGAGTTGGATAATTTTAGTTGGGTTGCAAACCTTACCAAGCTAATAAGTTGGATCATTTCGGACTAAATGAAAAAGCGCGTGTTAAGTTTTCAATTTGGAGTTTTGGAGTTTTGGATTTTTGAAATGTTACTCTCACTAATTACAATTTTTTTCAATGTATACACAAAGCATTTTTAAAGCATATTGCCCATGTTGGATCAAAATAGTAGTGGATTTGAATGTTTTTGAAATACTCTTATTGTTTTTAGGCATGCACTAAGAATTTAAATGATTACGAACTTATCCAAAAAACTCTACTGGGCATTCTATGCTCACCCGTTTTTTTTTTTTTTTTTAAATGTATTTTCAGATGATATAGGAAAGGCTAGCTGAGTTTGAGTTGCAACTCTTTAGGTGACTAGTAGATAGGGGTTCAAACGTACGCATCTCATTGCTAGTTGTTGAAGTATTTTGTATAGTTGGTCTCCATCTGTAGATGATCATTTTGCTGCGTTGTAAATTAAGGAGACATTTGACATAGGACACATAAGGTTAGTGTCTCTAGTTACCTGGGAAAAGAACCATGTAACATCTGATCACTTGTCTTTTGTCTTGTATAAATTTTCGCTCATGTGTAATTTTCATAAAATGATCTGAATATATTTTTGTAAGAAGCTCGAGGTTTCTTTTGTGAACTTGTTATATTTTTGGGGCTGGATGTGTTGTGTTTTGAGAACCATTACGAAGATTGGTTATACTCAAATTTGTGGCTGTTTATCTACTACTTAGTTTGCATTTTGCATTTTAGATTTTGACACTTTAGAACGTAATCGACTTTATATTTAAATTTATTTTATTATATTTTTTTCTTCTTCAGAAAAACAGCATCTTGCTTGTTTTAGACTTCAATTTTCTCATAGTTTCCGAACTCGAAAACCCACGAATTTTTTACACAAGTTACTCCCTTATGTCTACCTTGAATTTGAAGTTTTTCACTCTTTAGTTAAACGAGTGTTTTTGGTGAATTTTATGTTACAGGTCATTTTCTGCAGTTTGTAATACAACAAGAAGCCCTTTATTTTATTTGTTAAAGTTCCACTGATAGTTTTGGTTACTATATTTGTTGAGTTTAAATTTTACTGTGTCAAACTCTTTGGCTAATGACTTATTTACACTATGAAACTATCATCTTGTTCTCTTTATTTCTTTTAATCTCACATGTCACATCACGGCTCAGGATCCACCACATTTCGGGCTCGCTCCAACACTGTAGCACGATATTGTCCGCTTTGGGTCCCGACCATGCTCTCACGGTTTTGTTATTGAAAACTCACACGAGAATTTCCTAGTGGGTCACCCATCATGGGAGTGCCCTCGCGCATTACTCGCTTAACTTCGGAGTTCTTATAGAACCTGAAGCCAGTGAGCTTCCAAAAAGTCTCGTGCTAGATAGGGATGATAATATACATATAAGGATCACTCCCTGAACGATGTGAGATCTTACATCACACCTCAAGTTTTGGGGTGTGACAATATCTCCTTTCATCATATTTATCGGAAAACAAATTTTATAGCCAATGCGTTAGCTAAAATTGATCATTTATCTCATGGGTCATGAGTGTCGGGTTTGGTGATACACTCTTCCGTTTTAGTTCCTGCCCGAGGGGCCTCTCTTTGTCAGTTCTTTATATAACTCTTTATCATCTCTAACTACAAATTCGTTTTTTAGGGTAAGTTTTATCCCATAAGTTATGACAATTAATTTCTGTTTTTGGTACAAAGATGGTAGGACTTTGCACAATTTATCACGATTGTTCATATCATATTTAATGAATATCGTTAGTTTAAGAGATGTGATCAACAATCGAATCAATAAACATGCTCTTATGTAGCTTAAAGATTAGTTGAGCAATCCTGCTCTTGTTCATTCAAACCAAGCTTTCCCTTAATTAATTAAAAAACTGAAAACAATTGCCCATCTAATTAAACCAAAAAAGCCACTTGAAATAACTTATAAGTTCATTAACGTCATGAAGAATAAGTATCTCAAATTTAATTAGAGCAGACCGTACCACCTTAATCATTTGATTAATTAATTTCAACGCCACAATTTGTAAAATAATATAGCAGCAGTTCCCCACAAAAAAAAACTTTAGTCTAAGCATGACTTATATATGAACGTTCAAGTGCTAAACAGTTAGTAAATTAATACAAGACCGATTAAATGTAAAAACAAAATATGAATACTAGTACATAATTATACTTTTTCGGAAAATTAAATGCATGATGATAATTTAGTCTAATAACACCTAGTCTTTCAGTTCAAATCTCATGAACTTCAATTGTTTGTTTGTTTGTTTGTTTTTGTTTTTTTTTAATAAACGATATTCTCCTTACAATAAACTAGTAATAATAAAGTTTAAATTCGTATTTTTCAATTGTTAATTAAAAATAATAATATACTTGAATCTTATACTATGTCATTCATAGCTATTTTCGGCAATCGAACTCTTAACCTATCGATTTTCTGAATTCATTGCATCCTCCCCACCTTAAGAGTTAAGTTTTTTTATGGCATATAGTATGCGATTTTTAGAAGACACTTTATTTTGATCATATACCTAGTGATCAAGTGATATCAGTTTGAATACAGGAGATATTACACCACAGATTAATGACATATTAATCCCTTTTCTATACAGTTTCGGTACCACATAAAGAGACATGATATTTTCTACTCCTGAAATGAAAAATGGTATCGATTTGAATAACATGAATGAATTCGACATAGAAGGTAACACTACAATATTGATCCAAAATTGTGCTAGTAACAATGTTTGTTAACTTTTCTTAAAGAGGAATCCCTCTTTGTATAGGAAGACTTATGCATCTAACTTAAGTATCTAACAAAAAAGAAAAGTAAAAAAAAAGCATCTAACTTAAATAAGTAGATCTCGGATCCAGTACTCTGCCAAAACAAACACAATTAGACACTGATTTTATTTTATTTTTCTTAGAAGATCTTAGATTAATTAAAAAATAATAATATTGGCATTAAGATGTTGAAGTTTTAATTTAATAAATATTTTTTCTAATATTATAAATATATTATATAATCCCCGCAAACACGCGAGCCAAATTTGATGGACGTGTTTGTCCTTGGTTGACTCAGACTCCCGCTGTCTGAGGCGGATGATTGCCGTTTGAGACGGTTCCTTACCAATTTTGGCCACTTCTACTTTTTCATTAATATTATTAGTCTAAAGCTCAATTGCAAAAGTCTAACTTACTACAATCGGTTAGTTATAAATGATGTGATCATAACTATAATATTTGACATTAAGAGTAGGAAGAATTTGTAGTTCAGCTAGTTAAATGTGTGTGTGTGTGTCTTTACGTACAAATTCATATGTTCGATTCCTCTTTCTAATTATCGCTTGTATGTATTTAGAAAATGACTAAAAATGAAGAAATGTTAAGATGTTGTCATATTTGTTACAAGGAAATTAATAGACATTTACACCACGGTACTGCAATAAAAATATATTATGTCAGTGACGCTAGCAACAATTAGGTGAACTCATCATAAGTTAATATATATCATTTCGTCCAATAATGTCTATCGAATTTGAAGATTTTTCTAACAAAATAGAGAAAAATATCATTAAAACTAAAACTAGTAAAACAGTTTTTCCATATTATAAATAATAAACATAAATACACATTACAAAGTTTGTATGTAAAATATATATAAACACTAAAATTCTACTTACTTACAAAATGATTTAACTAGTCTAGCTAGCAAGAGACTTGTAGTTCAATCGATTTTTCGCATTTGAAGTTCTCAATTTGATTTCCCGTCTCTTTTGTCCAAAAGAAAAAATTAGTTTGGCAAACGTTGGATCAGCCATATCATCATTGACTAAGACAGCAAGGTTTTTTTTTTCTTTCTTTTTCTTTAAAAAGTATACGGAATTATTAATAATGCCACTCCACCCACTTATTATTTTTTTTAAAACACACACACACGGTCAAGGATAAGTGTTATGGTCAATAAAAGATTAAAGAATTGAAAGCAGTAGTTTAACACTCAATTTATGTTACAACTACATTTTTGTAATTTTAATTTCAATAAATATTTTTTTATCAAAATTTCCTCACAACATTTCCCTTACCAAGAAATAATATGGGACTCCCATAAAAGTTAAACTCTCTATATACTCTCTGTCACTTTATAATTTACCATCAATTTCAATGCCAACATTATAAAATATTGTGCAAAAAACATAAAAGGATAAAGAGTCCATGAAGAGTTTCGCTTTTAAAAGAATCTTATTGATATTTCTCAAACCACTAAGGTTCTAACAACATGTCACTTTAGTATATTGCTTTACCTTCTCTTAATTTGCATCCCTCATTTCATTTTTTTTTTATTTTTAACAAATGATTTATTTACACTAAAGAGGTATGAGAGAGAGCTAAGCCTCAAATCTCAATTCACATCTTTGAAAGAAAAGTTATTTTCCCACTTTATAATTACTTTTTCTTTTCCAATCAATCCATGAAAATACAAAAATACAAAAGAAAAGAAGAAAAATAAAATATTAAAAATTAAAAAGAAAATGAGGGAAGGTGTAAGGTTTGGGCAAGGTGTCATTATCCCAAAGGAGAGTGTCGGTGCTGTAAGAAGGAAGACTTACAATTACACAACGCATTTCTCGTAATGTATGATCTGATTCATTTCCTGCTTTCCTTTAAAGTTTTCCATTTTTGATTGAAATCACTCTACACAAGTTCTTTGCTTGATTTTCAAGTGCTCCAATCCATCATTACTCACTAGGGTTTCAGCATTCTTCATCTCTCTCCTCTCTCTCTCTCTCTCTCTCTCTCCCCCTTCAGCAGAGTTAGCGAGAGAGTGTTTTGCAGTGAGTAGGATCTGTGACTGTGAGTGGGAAAGGAGAGTTCTTTTGTTTTTTTTAGTAGAGAGAAAGAGAGAGAGAGATGGGTGTGGATTTGAGGCAGGTAGTGGCAGGAATACTGACACTGGCAATGTTTGTGATGCTTGGGAACATGATTAAGAGAGACCATTTTGATTCTGTTGAAGTAAGTTCACAAAACCCACCACTAATCTCTCTCCACACTGCTAAGCTTATAACCTTACTGTTTTTTGTTTGATTTTTAATTGCAGAATAATCAAATTTTATGTCATTGTGCAACAGCATTTTATCTGCTTCTCGGTCTTTTGTTTCATTTGATTTGTTATCTTTGATGGGGTTTCATTGATTTGTTGTAATTGAAGTTTAATCACTGCAAGTTTCAATCTTTGGTTTCGGGTCACAGTAGATTTGTTGATATAGATGTAGCCCATTTTGTTAGAAATTGAGAAGCAAAATGGATTCAAAACTTGAGCTTTGTAATAGTTGAAGAAAGATTTCTTGTCAGTGACATTTATGGGATTCCAAAATAGGCAAAACATTTCTGATTGTTGAAAATTTTGATTTGTTATCCAAAAGATCTCTTTTGTTTCCCCTCTCAACCATCTGGCACACTTCAGTTTTCGGCGTTTTCGCTCTAGAAGAGTTGTGTAGTGTTCAAGTCTCATGCATATTTTTATGCAGTTCACATTGTTTATTTTCAGCAAATAGATATAAGCATTGATTTACAGGGATATTGTGTGATTTTCTGCTCTTTTGCGTTATATAGGAGAAGTTTCCTGGAGGAGGAGGAAGAGATACCTTAGAAACTTCCAAGTATTCAAAGGAGGGCCTCGTTAGCTTTGCTAAAAAGAATGGCGGGCCTTGGAAAGATGATGGCGAGGAGCTAAAACAGTGTTGGTCTAAGCCATCTGGTAAGTTTTCCTTGCCATTTGAAATCATTGGTAGTTTCATATACTGTTTATTGCAATGATGAGTTGCCTAATTATTTTCATAAATTCTTATCTTCTTACTTGGGTTAGCAGATGATGTAGAGCAGACGGAGGGGTACGTCCTGTTCTCATTAACAAATGGCCCTGAATACCATGTTTCACAGGTATTTAATGAACAGTTGATTTCGTTGATAGAGTTATTTATTTGGGTCCCTGAAACTGATATAACATTTCCTAAATATAAACTCTCAAAATTTCTATAAATCCAGTCATTTCATCCTTTTAACAATTGTTAGACTGTGCTACGTTGTATGTTCATCTCTGTTCTATATTATGTCTATTTACCGGAAATCTTTAGTATTGATTCTTTAACATTCTCTGCGTAGAGTGTTCATAACTTCATTTACATCAGACTTATGATCAGAGTTGTGTATTGCTACTTTATGGAATGATGAAAATCTTGGGTCTTTTTTTTAAAGATTTTCTGGTGTACATTCTTAAATTAGCCATTTGATCTGTAAACCAATTCACTATTCTCTCATTAATCTGTACCTTGGCACTCTTCAGGTCGCAGATGCCGTTGTTGTGGCAAGGTATCTTGGGGCAACTCTTGTACTTCCTGATATTAGAGGGACCAACCCAGGGGATGAGAGGTCAGTCGCTAATGCTCTATTAAAAGCATGTTTTCTTCGATTGTTTATAGTTGAAGAATAAGTATTACTCCTTGCCGTGTTGCTGCTGTGTTACTCTATCTGCACTTTGCTGATATCTTCTCTACTAATACCATAAACGAATTCTTTGGTTCGATTTAGATAAAAGATTTTGGCAGCCAACTAATTTAACTGAAATTCCAGGAACTTTGATGAGATTTATGATGCCGAGAAGTTTATAAGTAGCCTGGATGGTGTGGTCAGAGTAGTAAAAGAACGACCTGGTAAATTATCCACAAGGAATATTGCCGCTGTTAAGGTTCCCAATAGGGTTACAGAAGATTACATTGTTGAACATGTGGAACCAATTTATAGATCGAAGGGCAACATAAGGCTGGCTACTTACTTTCCTTCAGTTAATATGAAGAAGACAGAAGGAAAGAGTTCTAGCGATTCAGTTGCATGTTTGGGGATGTTCGGAACATTAGAATTGCAACAAGAGATTAGTGAAGTGGTCGAATCAATGGTTGAGCGTCTGAAAACTTTGAGCCGCAAGTCAGATGGCCAATTTGTAGCAGTGGACTTGAGGGTTGACATATTGGAGAAGAAAGGCTGCCAAGGAGGAGATGAAACCGGAACAAAAAGTTGCTATAACGCACAAGAGATTGCTTTATTCCTGAGGAAACTTGGATTCGCAAAGGATACCACAATCTATCTGACCGAATCAAAATGGGACAGCAGTCTTGATGCTCTTAAAGACATCTTCCCGAAAACTTATATAAAGGTGCATGCTTCTTCTGTCATGCCTTATATTTTACTTTGTTTCAGTTACTCCCGAAACCCATACCATTGCTATTCCAGATGTAGATTTTGTACTTAAATGAGTCCGGAATTCATTGCAGGATGGCATTATCCCAGCAGACAAGAAGTCAAAGTACCTGGATTCCAAGGGGTCTGAATTCGAGAAGATCATTGACTTCTACGTGTGCGCGCAAAGTGATGTATTTGTACCAGCCATTTCAGGCTTGTTCTATGCAAATGTGGCAGGTAAGAGAATTGCTTCCAGTAAAACTCAAATACTTGTCCCAGCTGACATCCCCGACGCCTCTGCATCTGCCTCCAAATTCATCACACATTATGTCTCGAAGAAGAACCATTTGGCGTATTCATGCTACTGTTAATGTCCCTCCGTGAGAAGAAACCCGGGAAGAAGAAAGGCGGGGCGGATGCATCGAAGCCTTCAAAGAGGGTGTTAGCTCAATCGAGATTTATATGGTTACGCAGATTGGACAGGCTAGTTTGTATAATAATGTATACTTAATCTGGGTTACAAGAAACCTTAAACAGAAATTTGTCCGTTAAAAATGATGTTTTGAAGGCACTGTTTGATAGGGCAGGAAGTTTTGAACCTTTAAATGGTTCATAACATGTGTTGTTTGATTATATTCCATAACATTTTTCCTATATTCATTGTAATATTGTTATCACATCGTATACAATTTTGTGTTTCTCTCATCACGTGTTTGTGATACCTAAGAATCTCACTTTTAAAATCTGGATATTTATACAATTTGGACTTGTAAAAGATTAATTAGGGAAACGATTTCCACACTGCTTTTTCCGTCTATTGTTGACAGTTGATCATTCGTTCAATCCAAAAGCCGTAACCAAAGAAGAGAGTGGGAAAGGAAAACAAAAGACTGCGGAAATCATTTTCTGTTAATTAAACCAATATTCATGTAAGGTCAACAAATAAAGCAAATTTCACATGGGTTTGGATCTTAGAACAAAAAGAAAATAAGAATAAGAAAATGGAGAGTTGGATCAACATCCAAGGTAGTTTTGTCCATAGAGGACCATACTAAATCTGACTTGATTCAGATGATAAAAGTATAATATAATCACGTAATTACAGGTCCTTGAAAAGAAAAAAAATGGAACAAGAGTTAAATGTGTATAAAATGGAAAATGGTAGGAAACCATTTTTAAAATCACATTTTGGGATCACATGCATGATGCCCTAAAGTAAGGCTTTGTGATTTAAAGAATTAAAAAAAAAAAAAAAGATTAACCATTTTCGGCAAGACTTATATTGAGGTTTTTTTTTTCTTTTTTTTTTTTTTTTTTGAAAAAGATACGATAGCAATTTTATTCATAATATTAATGAAGCATAAAATGTGACATCCCACATCGCCTAGGGGAGTGATCCTTATATGTATATTCTCATCCCTACCTAGCATGAGGCCTTTTGGGAGCTCACTGGCTTCGGGTTCTGAAGGAACTCCGAAGTTAAGCGAGAAGGGGGCTAGAGCAATCCCATGATGGGTGACCCACTGGGAAGTTGCTCATGAGTTCCCAAAAACAAAACCGTGAGGGAATGGTAAGCCCAAAGCGGACAATATCGTGCTACGGTGGTAAAGCAGGCCCGGGAAGTGATATGTCCCAGACCGGGATGTGACAATTTGGTATCAGAGCCTAACCCTGGTCGCGTGTGTGCCGACGAGGACGTCGACCCCCTAAGGGGGGTGGATTGTGACATCCCACATCGCCCAGGGGAGTGATCCTTATATGTATATTTTCATCCCTACCTAGCACGAGGCCTTTTGAGAGCTCACTGGCTTCGGATTCCGAAGGAACTCCGAAGTTAAGCGAGAAGGGGGCTAGAGCAATCCTATGTTGGGTGACCCACTGGGAAGTTGCTCATGAGTTCCCAAAAACAAAACCGTGAGGGAATGGTAAGTCCAAGGCGGACAATATCGTGCTACGGTGGTAGAGCAGACCCGGAAAGTGATCTGTCCCAGGCCGGGATGTGACATACAATCATGTAGCATGGCATCCTGGATAGTAACCGGAGGCACCTCAAACCAAGACTAGGAACAGTAGAACTTAAGGCCAATTTAGCCATACTGTGCGCCACAACATTGGCAAATCTACATATATGATTTACTTTCACTGTAGCAAAACTCTGCAATCTGGCTTTCACATCCTCAATTAATAAACCAATAGTAGAAACGCCACAATGGGGACTATGCAATGCTTGGACCACTTGTAAGGCATTACTCTCCAGAATAACTAGCCTCCAATGCAATCGTGCAGCTTGGTGCAAGCCTGCACGAGCTGCTAGAATCTCCACAGTATAGGGGTCGATCACATGAGGAATTTTACAAATGAAACCTCCACCATAGGTAAAGGCTTCGTCACGAAAAACCACACCGATACCCCCACACTTCGAATTTGAACAAAAGGAAGCATTGACATTAATCTTAATCTAGTTTGGCAGTGGTGGAGACCACTGAGAAGGAGAAAGCAGGGGGCAAGGAGCAGTTTGGAGTTGTGAAGACACAAAATCCGATAGGAAAAGGCCCGCCAATCTACTCACCATAATAGGGTTCTCCTGCTTATCATCCCAAAGAAGGGAATTCCTAGCACGCCAAATAGAATGGAGAAGGGCAAGAAGAAGATGAAATTGACCATGCTTGAGGACAGCAACACGACAACTAAGCCACTCCAAGAAGCAAGAGAAAGAAGAGCGGAGTGGTCCAAGCTCAATGTTGGTAGACGAACAAACGACTCTTGCAAATGGACATTCAGCAAACACATGTAGCGCCGACTCCGAAGAGAAACTACATAAAACACAAATGTCATCCACCGCAATGCCTTTATTGAGGTCCACTGTTTGCATTTTATTTTAACAATGTATTTCCTTCTTCATTAATGAATATCGTACTTGAACTATAAAAAAAAAATAACCGTCAACAATAAATTATGTGGTTTACAAATTTCGGTTTTAAAAGATTTTCTAGTTAACATTATACGTATAAATATATTAAAATTTAATAATGTGTAACGTATTATCTTCCACTTAGTCTTTGTCTTTGACAGAATGGTATACCCTACTCCCACGAGCTCCTTCTGAAACTTGTCTACCATTTTAGATGTAAATTCCAAACCTTAAAATACCAAAAAAAAAACCTCCCAAACCAATTGGATTGTAGAAAATGAAATGTCATCTTGTTGGGAAGTGGTCATTCTAATCAAGATTTCAGATGAAAATGATTTTTGCATGGTTATGTTTATTTCTGACAATTAATTTTTTTTTCTTCAAACGATAGATTTTGTTAAATTAGATGTTAGATTAATCATCGACGTTATTTGAACCCATGTTGTCTTATAAGAGTTAAACTCATTTCCACCACTATAATAAAAGGCCACTTCATTCAATTTCTTTTATTTTTATATATGCTCTGAAATCACTTTTCTTTTCAAGTTTATCCATTCCACAAAAGAAAACGAATGACAAAATGGTTAGATATAATACTAAGAGATAAATAAATGAAATGAATGATATAATCATGTGAGCCGTCTTAGCTCAGCTGGTAGAGCGCGTGGCTTTTAACCACGTGGTCGTGGGTTCGATTCCCACAGACGGCGATAAGTATTTATTTTTGTATGAGTTGGGGTCCATAATTAAGAGTACATTCCACATTAACTTCTTTCCTTTTCTTTTTTTTATTTTTATTTTATTATTATTTTATTTAAAGAACCAGCAAGTAACTTCACCACAGTAATTCATTTTTTCGGGAGTTGAGAACTATATTACTTTACTGTTCATAAATTTATTTTGTGATAGAATGTTTTCTTTTCATTATCTTTTAGTCAATAAAGAGAATTTTATTAATATGTAATTTATATTTTAACAAAGCATTTTTCCACTTGGAGTATGTCGAGAATTTCAATAAAGATCCAAGTGTGTGAGCCAATTAGGAAATGTATTTAAAAAATAATTTTGTTTGAAGCATAAAAGTGTTTTTATTAGGACTTTGAAAATTTCAACCAATTTTTTTTCTAGAAACACTTCAAGTAATTTTATTTATTCAAAATACTTTTAAATTTTCTACTAAACATAATTGACTTTTTTATGATCTAAAAGCACTTGCAGATATATCTTATATTTAAATTTAATTATTTTTTCATTTGGACACAAAACTTACTGTAGTAATGAGTAAATCTGAGTTTAATTATTTTTGGATTGTCCTTACCATAATATGAATTCTTTCTTCTGATTCCAGAGGAAGGAACAAATACATTTTGCATCACATCTTTGTTGTCGGGGCTTATAAAATTGGAGGAATGCGTCGGGTTTTTTTTTCTGATCGAAGGGTTTCTCGGTGAAGGGAGTGGTGGGAAGAGGGATTTGCAGAGGTTGAAAGTTGTGACCAAGACTGAACAAAGGGGAATTTGTGATCAAAGACCTTGGAAAAACTCGATATTGCCTAAATCTGGAGATTGTACAATGCTTAAAGTACTGTCATGTTTCGAACCCGGGTTGGCGGAAAATTTGAAACTAGATCTGGCGCGTGAATAAAACTAAAAATAAATACAAAAAAACAAATTTCTCTTATACAAATAACTCCAAAATCCTTACAGGGTGTACATAATAAATTAAAATCCTTAAAAGTCTTAAATCCCTCATCAAACACAACCTCAGCTCGTCTATCACATTTCTTGCCACATAACTTATCTGTGAAATAAAAGGTGAGGGGTGAGCAACAACCATTGTCGCCCAGTGAGTGGAATATGTAATATGTTAGTCAAGCGATGTCCTTTTTTCACACGCTAGAAGTATGACAATAATATCAAAACTTTAGCCACGTAATTCCATATCACATCATCTCCTTATGTGTTCATTAGATCCTTCCTCAAATTTCACTCACCACGTGACCCCTAATATCCATTCCACCTTAATATCCCCGTGTGAAGTTTACATTTATCCCTTGGATTAATGCAACACTAAAGTTCTCATGCTCCATGAACATCTCAAACAATTCCACCTAGAATGTATCTATATCACATTGTAAACATTTCAACAAATCAAACATGCTTGATTTAAAATAGATGGATATTTGTAAATAGATGAAAACCCACGATAGCTCGTGCGTTTCGTTTATAAAAAAATAAGAATATTTTGAAACACATTATATAAACTCCTCACCTCGATCGATAGCTAGAACCTCGGCAAGACAAGTCCACTAACAATCTCCACACAACCAACTCCCTGACCCTAAACTTTCTTTCTTCTCTCTCTCTCTCTCTCTCTCTCTAAATATAAATACACACACACACACACACATATATATATATGGGATAATATTTTAACAAACATTTTTACACTTCTTTGTAACCTTTAGATTTAATAAAATTCAACGGTCTAGACTAAGAGTGATGTGATTAATTGACTTGAATGATCATGTGGATAATAATTAATAAGGAAAATGCTAATCTCAATTAACAAAAAATATCTAATAGAATAAAATTGAAGGAAAAAAAAAACCATTTGAACCCTAAACTAAAAAACATGAAATCTCTCCTTTGCCGATGAGGTCTGCAGTGCTTCTCTTCTTTCATTTTATAAAAATAATCCTAATAATAACAAAAAAAACACGATTTAAGAGTAAAAATCATGATTCATATGAACTCATAAAACTTAGTTTTATCACCTTGCATATATGAACAATAATATAGAATTTAGAGACGTTTCATTTTGCTTACGTAACGAAGATTCAAGGCATGGAAGTTGCAAACCTGGGGGAGATGGAGGTTGCAAACCTCCTTTCTTATTTTCACGATTATAGCTAGGGTTTCTTCCCCTTTTAATTTTAGTTTTACTTTTTTTCCAGATTTTAAGTTTTTTCAATTTTATTTTTATTTTTAATATTAGTTAAAATACACATAAGTATCAAAGTTATTTAATGAATAAATAAGAATCCTTGAATGTTAAAAAATCTAAAGGTTACAAAGAAGTGTAAAAATGTTTGTAAAAATATTTGTCCCTTGATCCTATCCTTATATATATATATATATATATGTATGTATGTATGTATGTATGTATGTATGTATGTATATACAGGTTCTTTAACAAGAGGGATCCCCATTTAAAAAAAAAAAATGAGAACATCCTCTTGACCGTTGGATTGACTTTAATTAAATTGTGTGGTTGAGATTAAATCACAGGCCACATAATTTCATTAAAATCAAATCCAACGGTCAAGAGGATGTCCTCATTTTTTTAGAAAAATGTGAATCCCTCTTGTTAAAGGATTCCTATATAAATATATATATATATATATATCTATTCTTCAAATAGTGAAAAACAAAAGTCACTGTTCATTCAGCTTTTGTAAAAGTAAGCAACGTGATTCCACAGTAAAGGCATCATCAACAGTAAAAAACAAAAGGGTCACTATTCATTCAGCTTTTATAAAAGTAATAACGTGACTCCACAGTAAAGGATCATCAATCAGCCAGCTTTGCCAGTTTTCTTCTCATACCAACGGGATTCCCGGATGAAAATGGCACTATTTCAATCATTCTCCTCCCTCTATAAAAGAGGAATTCATCTTCACAAAAAGGACACGAGTTTTAAAACTCAATAGCTCAGTTCAATATCATCTCTCTGCTTATCCACAAAGGACAAAGATTATTTTCCAAACACTTGTAATACCTATATTATTCAGGATGTCTGCGAGCTCCACCTTGTTTACTTGTTTCATCTGCCATTAGGCAACATCTGTTTGTAATCTGCATTGCAGTAAGTTTTCAATAAAACTTATTTTCAAAACATATTTGCATCATTACATTTAATTCATTATTTTCATGGAATTATCTTCTATGATTAATTTAATCCTTTCTTTTCATGTTATCATCAGTCATCCATGGATGTTTCTTTTCAATCAACCTGAGTTTTTTTTTAAATCAATATATTGATATGCTACTCTGTTTCTATATGTTTTACTTCCGCACTCTAAATTCTATGGACGGTTTTGCCGCCTGCTGTTGTTAGTTCCGCCCCATTTGACTATATATATATATATATATATACATATATATATATATATACATATATATATATATATATATATACATATATATATATATATATGCAACGTAGATAAAAGAAGGATAAAGGTCGAGGAAATGTAAATGAAATGGAGAAGTGGCAGAAGTTATTTATATAAGACAGACAGGAGTCGACAAGTATAGCAGGAGGTGTCCAATATCATTGGATAATAAGGTATGAGAGATTGACACTTGTTAGGGTAGTAGTTTTGGCTGCCAAGTGGATAAATAGGCGTCACTTAAAGAGGATGAATGGTACACACGGAGCAACCTCAAGCTCCAATGTAATGACAATGCAAATAAGATTGGATTGAATGATTGGATGGTTACTATGGTGGTGCACCTAAGAAGTGGACATCTGGGTGAACAACCACAAACAACATTGATCTCGATCACCACGTCTTGTATGCAGGAGGAGGTGTGCTAACCTAATGCATGGAACAAAAGATATCTATACTACTATGGTTTATTATATACACACATACAGGGCATACATACGTATACAATACATAGAAAATAACAAACATGAAACAAAAGATATTTTAAAATATCATATATATTTTTTTAATACAGGTCTCACAAGTACTCCTACGGTTGTCTAAATGCTAAATGCAAAATGAGACCCTCTTCATCCTAAAGACAATGATAAAGAGGTTTTGGAGCCTGGAGTTACATATTTGAGTGCAATTGGTGCTTTTTTGTACTTAGCTCAATGCACTAGACCTGATATCTCCTTCGTCGTTAATCTATTGGCAAGATATAGCAACGTGCCAACACGCTGACACTGTAATGGTGTTAATGACATCCTTCGTTGCCTTAAAGTTACTACAAATGTGGGCTTATTTTGTCCCTATTCATCTCAAAATAGATCATACCCCATTAGTCTTCAGAATGATATTTGCCTTGTTGGTTATGTTGGCATAGGTTATTTATCTACTCCACAAAAGATACATTCTCAAATCGGTTACATCTTTACTGCTAGAGACACCTCAATATCTTGGAAATCAACTATATACACCTTAGTTGCACATACTTCAAACCATACTGAAATTCTCGACCTTCATGAAGCCACGTGCAAATGCTTTTGGATCACAGACGTTATTGAGCATATTCGAAGAACTTGTTGACTTTATTCTGTCATTGATGTCTCTTTTAGGTTGTCATACTACAACAGTCTTGATAACGAACTACGAAGACAACACTGTCTGTATCGACCATATCAAGAATGACTTGTCAAAGGACATCAAGCATATTGTGCCGAAGTTTTTCTTCTCACATTAGCAACAAGAACATCAGAAGATTGAAGTCAAGAGGATCTAATCCCAAAACAACATTGTCGACCTCTTCACAAAATCATGGTCAACGCCTACTTTTAAAAAGCTTGTTCAAGGAATTGGATGCGTAAATTGTCTGATTTACAATGTGTGTAGTTCTCATTGAGTTTTGTCAACTCATGGGGAGTATCCTGAGGTATACTTATTTGACCTTAGTCTACTATTTTCCTACGATCATAATCTTTTTATCCCATTGAGTTTTTGTTGCCTAACAAGGTTTTGATGAGGCACAAACTCTGGGTTGGTCATACCCTTGTGTGTGTTTTACTTATGTCCTAAAGATGTTAGTTTTGACTTGTTGTTTTTACTCACTTTTCTCCTTAGCCTATGAGTTTTGTCCCAACTTAGATTTACCATAGGCAGATTTTGTGAAGTTTATCCTAATATACATTCTTCCTTATTTTGAAACTCGCATTCGCTACTTGGGCCGACTAGACGAGTAGACTTCATCAATTGCTTCTACATCATCCGTGAAGATCTGATGCGCCATTCACATGAGTATTTACACACCTAAAGTGGAGTGTTGTAGTTAGAATTATATAGCACGTGTTATTGTGTAAATCCTAGTGTATTGTATTCAGATTCTTATGTAATTCTAAAAGATCTTAGGCTTTCTTACTTGTAGCTTAAGTAAACCCATTATGTTCTCTATAAATGAAGGTACAAAGTAGGAGGAAAGGGCACACCCAGAATTTCCCTACACCTATCTTTTCTCTCTCTTTGTCACCACACCGTTTCTATCTCCTTCAATTTAATTTAGGTCCCAAACTTTCCTATTCTATAAGGCGTTAGATTATCCCTTTTCTAATTGGGATTTGTTGGGTTAGTAAATTATGACAAATTTGACACTATCGACAGAAAATAGGTGAGTTAAAAGTCTCGTTTTATTGGTCACCTAGTGACTAAGGATATATGGTTGAAATCAAACGGTGGGTGACTATGCATTCCTTGATTACTAGGTGACTATGAGAACATTTTTGGATAAATTAATAAGCTCAATTGTAGCAATATCTTTAGATTATAGCCCAAGTGCATTTTTGCCTTATTGATGCAATGGTATTGGGCGTGGAATTTGCGGTTAACCACTCAATAGTCCAGCTAAAACTAGGTATCGACACTGCCATTTGTAAAGTTGACCTTGAAATTTTCACTTAAATATTAAGACATCGCTAAATTATAGTACTAGTGGCAAGTTACGATTTCAGCTTTAGAGTCTTCTGTTAAGGGTAGATTGTTAGCGGTCACCCACCCCTGAATTTGATATTAGGGTTGAAATATAACATAGTCGTCCTCAAACTAGGACACTCTTTAAACTACTGGTCCCTTCCTTTGGTACCGTCAAACCTTTTGTTTTTTTTTTTTTTTTTTTTTTGAACAAATGATATTATCTCCACTAAGAGGAAGGATATGCTTAACCTCACAATGAGCTAGCAATAAGATGGTTTAAATTCACTTTTGGCAAAATCGAACTTAAGATCTCTCACTTACAAGTGAAGAAGAATACCACTAGACCGTAGTACTAAGTGGCAAACCTTTTGTTAAATGTAGTGGAGAAATTATGGGTATTTAATCAAGTCAATGTTGTAATTGGGCTGTTTGTAAAACACCAAAATTAGATAAAAGTATAATAAAAATGGATAATAATAGCCAAAATTAGATATAGCAAGCCCCATGTCGAACTAACATGTCATTTGGTGAAAATTTAAACGTACCGAACTGATATTAACCACCCCAAAAAATAACATCCCTTTGATTTTGATACTACGAGAGGCCGTTGTACATTTAGATTTGCTCGTTCAACGATAATTTACCAAAAACTGGATAACTGCAAGCACATTATATGTGCATATTTGAGTAGCAACAATGCGTAAGGGCCTGGAAACAAACATCACCCTTTCACAGACGAAGGACTGACAATTAAACGTAGCATGCTGTGACTCCGCCGAGATTCCATTATACTAACACCCTCCATACTCGGCCAAAAATGCAAAGCGGAACTGCGACACCAGTTGAATTATCAAGACGCCGAAGAAACATGAAATAAACAGGGTAATGAATAGAGCATAGTAACATAACATTTGTACCTGAAAAAAGAGAATGAAGCATAGTACCATACCATCTTGTGGATTAATCAATCATCCAGGTAATAATAGGACCCAGCTGCTTTTTGTTCCCTATCTTTCGTCGACTCCAATTTGTTGATTCTTGGGCGATAGTTAGTCGGGTCACGCCTAAATGTGATATCAAGATGCTGCATGCATGCATCATTTTGAAAAAAAAAAATCAATGAAAAGAGCAAAATTAAATTCTTATCATCACACAATAAAATAGTCGCAGTCCAAAACAATCGAGTGGAATGAAGAAGTTGCAAGACTTACAGATAAGAAGAGATTCATCCCAGTCAACAATGACTGCGGAGCATTTGCAGTACAATCAATTGATGCCTGCCCCTCATAGACAATAACCCTATCGGCCAAGTAAGTAGCCATGATAAAGTCGTGTTCAACGATGAATGCTGTTTTCTTAGCATGTAGGATAAACCTCTTTATGACTTTAGATGCAACAATACGCTGCTCAGAATCAAGATATGCACTCGGTTCATCTATAAGATATATATCTGCAGGCTGCATTAAGTAAATAGAGATGTGGATTAGAATGAGTCCGTGACAGGTGATTCGCATGCATCTTCACCAGCCAGAACAACGGAAAAACTATAATTCATGGCCTTCCCAGTGCCAAACGATAAAAAGATTAAAAAGAGTGAAACTGTTATTGTGAACATGTAATCACTAGATACAATGTTACCTTTAAGGCAGAGGATAAACAAATGTATGGCAACATTGGCAAGGACAAAAAATTCTTTTAGGATTTTAGAGCACAAACCTAGGAATGACAGATGGTCATGCTATATGGCCAAACGTGTTCAAGGATGGAAAAATCTAAAGCAAGTAGAGAATTCCCTCCTACTCAAGATGCATCCACGGAAACAAATATAAGGGGTAGCATAAAGTGTTGAAAATGATTCATTTAGACACACAAAGGCCCATTTATTAATTCACATCAGAACCCTATCTCTCCCTTCCTATGAAAGGCTGATATAAGGGAAAAATAAACACAACTTCTGATTTTCAAAGCCAGTTGAACCTTGTGACCTTTCACCAAGTAATTCAACTTAACTACCAAATCATTTGTTGAAAAATCACAAATCTACGAAAATAAACAATGCTTATTGAAAACTTTAGGCTTCTAAATTTCATAACCAAGACACAAAAAAGCTTAACGCCACAATGTAACAAAGGAACCCAGCTGAGCAACATTATTCCACTAATCCAATGATTTATAAAAGATGGATAATAATAATCTACCTTCCCGAGGCACAGGCATAATGCAACCCTTTGGAGCTCTCCACCAGAGAGATTCAGAACTTCTTGATCCATTAATTGTTCAATAAGAAGAGGTTTCATCACATCTGACATGAATTGGGGGTGAGTATATGAATCACGAATTTTTGAATGTAACAAGGCTCTGACAGTGGATGGAAACTTTGGGCTGATTTTCTGGGGCTTGTAAGAAACATTGAATTCAGGTATCTCCACATCGGAATCTTCCACAGTATCAGGTTTCAATAGACCAGCCTGAAAATTGGGCATATGCTAACTCAACATCCAAAGCTGCAAAGTAATTATGACTGAAGAAAAATAAGATGAAAAATAAAGAATACCAGCATACGGATGAATGTTGTCTTCCCTGTTCCATTCTCTCCCAGCATTACAATAATCTGAGAATCAGTAAATTCGCCTTCAACCGCACGAAGCCTGAAGTTTCCCTGAGTTTTAGTCATTGATGGGTATTTATATCGTGCATATGTATCGATTTCTTCAGCACTTTCCTGTGGAGTCTCAGCAACCTGGTAAAGACAACAAAGTAAATCACAAAGCAATGATAAGTCAAAGGAGTCTTTCTGATTTTTCCAGTTGCAAGTCAAAAAAAGAGCATTTCATGGACAAATTTATAATCTTGCCTTGAAGGTCAGAGATACATCCCGGAACCTAAGATTCTCTGTGGGAACAAATCCAGCCAAGAAGATGTTGATTCCTTCTCTAACTGAGAAGGGAAGAGTTACAACTCCATATGCACCCGGTTTCCCATATAAACAGCAAATGAAGTCTGATAAGTAATCCAAGACACTAAGATCATGCTCCACAACAATTACATAGCTGAAAATATAAGAGAATATGACTATTAGTTAAATATGCAGACAATCAAGAAATGGAATCCAACAAAACCATGCAATTCAATTTTGAGGAAAGAAGAGAAAATACGAAATTAAACCTATTAGGCCTGAGCAAAGATCGGACAACTTGGGCAGCTTTAAGCCTCTGTTTGACATCAAGATAACTTGAAGGTTCGTCAAACATATATATCTCTGCATTCTGTATGGCAACGACAGCAATGGCGAATCTTTGAAGCTCCCCACCTGATAAATCCCCTACCTTACGCTCTATAACCTGGTTCAGCTCAAGATCAGCACATAATTTTTCCTTCATATCCCTCTCATCTTTCTGACTGAGCACCTCCCCAACATTCCCTTGAACTGCTTTTGGAATGTGATCAACATACTGGGGCTTTATAATGGCCTGTTAAGTAAAAAGAATATTAAGCAAATTAGCAAGAAGAACAAATATAACATGAGACAATATACTGGTTAGAGACAAGAAAAGATGGCCAAGATATACCCACAACACAACAGGCAAAATTATATTCATTTAAAAACTAAACTCATTTCCAATTTAGTACAAAAGGTTATGGACAGCAAAATTAAATGGTACCTTCAAATTATCTTCTAGGATACGGGTGAAAAAATTCTGCAACTCAGATCCTCTAAAGTAGGTCAAGATTTCCTGCCAATCTGGAGGATTCTGCAAAAATAAAAATAAAAAAAACCATCTAGATGAGATAATCGAAGAATGCACCAAACAAGTTTGAAACATAATAAACTTGTCAAAGAAGGGGAATTTGTGTAAGGAGTCTTACTTTGAAACGACCTAAATTTGGTTTCAACTTTCCACCCAAAACTTTGAGGGCAGTTGACTTCCCAATGCCGTTTGTTCCAACCAAACCAAGAACTTGACCTGGCCTAGGGACTGGTAACCTGAAATTACAAAATTTATGTCATCCCAAACCACATAAATGCTCAAACGATCACTTCCCGATAATGTGGTAAGGAGCTAACCTGTGTAGCTTGAAAGTGTTAGGCCCATAGCGATGGGTTGTATCTTTGTCTAAATCCTTTGGCAAGTTAATGATTTGGATTGCTTCAAATGGGCATTTCTGCATCATCAGATGGTATAGAGTCCAATTAATGCCTTTAAAACACAACTATTTCAGATAAAAAGACAATTGACGGTAACAGCACTTCTTACAGACCTTAACACAAATACCACATCCAATGCACAATTCTTCTGAGATGAAAGCAATCTTGGATGCAGGGGTAACCTCGATACATAGTTTACCTGTATATAGACTGATTAGTAGTGTGTATGTTTGTAGCACTACAGGACAAAAACATAATAATACTAAGTCCGGTTATAATAAAAAAGTGCTCATTCACAGAAAAGCAAACATAGTTGCCACGATAATGCATAACAGGAACTCACGAACAGAAACATTAAATGTATTCGGAGCCGTCTCATATTATGCAAGAGCTCATGCCTGTATTTTTAGTAACCTTTAATACAAGCTTTCCTTGATTTTATCAACCAATAATCTCTTTTAATGGAAAGTTTTGAGCATAATTAAAATTTCTGAGTGTTTCTCCTTGCAGGAGGCATTCCATTACCTTTATTTCCTTTCATCATAAGTAGCTTTCACGACCACATTTGAACACAAATAATATGTCTCAAGATAAATACCAAGTCACATGATTAAAAAAAAAAAAAAAAAAAAAAAGAAAGGGGTGACAAATCCAAGTAATCAAGAACAGTGCATCTTAGAAACCCTATAGAAATATAATAGCAAGATCATAATTCAAGAAACAAGAAAAGATTCTATTGTTTTCATTAAAAATAAAAAACAAAACAAACCATTATCTGAGTAATTCAATTAATCCAGATATTTAATTCCTTTATGATATCAACAGACATATACACACAAATTATTACATAAACAAAATGGAAATGATACAAGTGAGAAGAGGTAACTATAATATACCAGTGATAACAACAGGACAGCTCCTCTTGCATTCCTGGCGGCACTTCTTGGGTTTGCATCTGTCGGAGCTCACAATAGCTATACGGGTCAAACGGTCAGACATCTCCTAATCTTCTTCTATCCACAGTAAATCCACGGATCAAATGAAGCAAAGATCAAATGGACACAGCTGAGCAAGAATCAAACTAGAGGTGCTTACGGGCCGGAAACTAATCAAATTTGGGCAAAACTAAATTTAATGCAAGCTGGCTAGTATATTAATTTTGCAACCAGTCCAACCTAATTTCAGTACCCAAAGCTCAGAAGCAACCCAACATCTAAAACCAAACGCCTGAATATGTTTACAGGTATAAAAAAAATCCCCAATAGCATGAATTTCAACATTACTAAAAATCAAATCCCTAATTTCACCAAAATCCCCAACAATCACAAATTCATAAATCAAGTCCCCTTCTTTACATATAAAAAAAAACCCCAATATCACAATCAAAAGCTGATTCTTTTACACAATTCGAAGCTCAAAGGTGATTCTTTAACACAAATCTCAATCGCAAGCTAAAGAAAGTACCTTGTTTGACAAGAGGAGAAAATGGAGGACAAGCTTGAGTCGGATCAGCTGGCAGCTGCAAGCAGAGGAGTAGTAGAAATACACTGAACACTGAAGGAGAACACGAAGCCGATCAAACTGCGACGGCGACGGAGACTGAGACTGAAAAAGGAAAGCTCGAGAGAGAGAGAGAGAGAGAGAGAGAGAGAGGATAGAGGGCGAGCGACGGTTAAGTGTAGGGAGAGGCAGGTGTGGGAATGGGTTGAGAGTCGGACGGGCGCAGGGAATGGCTCTGTTCATACCCAATTATTGACTGTTCACACCCATAAGTTAAAAAAAAAAAAAAAAAAATTTACTTTTTCGTATATTTTCTAAAATCTTTGAATTTTCTTGTTTTTTTATTTTTGGTAAAAATCTCTTCTTTATATATTTTCTAGAATCTATGAATTTTCTTATTTGATTAACTTAAGACATATTCTTTGGTGTAAAATTCAAATTTTAGGTTCTAAATTTATCTTAACTTGCTCTAATAGTTGGGGCAAATATGAGGTTTAACACAAAACTTATTTCTTGGACAAATTTAATCCAAGATTCCCCTGAGTTAGTGGGGCTGATCCACCATATATGTATATTTTTTTTAAGTTTTGTATTTATAAATTTATTGAATCTAACTATTAAAATCTAATATGATCAAATCAAATGTAAAAAAATGATCTAACGGTCTAAATTTAAATTCAACGGCTAAAGTAATTAAAAAAAAAGTCTTTTATGTGTTTCAAATTATTTTCATAATGTTCCACGAGTTTCATAGTGTCAGTTTAGTGATTTTTCAATATATATCAGAATCTAAATATTTTTAGGCCAAAATGTTCATAAAATTAAATTATGATAGTCTACATAATTTTTTTTAAGTTACTTTAAGGAAAAATTATCCTAAATTCATTCTTTAATCATCTTGAGCTAAAAATTTAACCTATAAGGGTTGGAGGAGAAAAACCATTTCTCGATTAAAACCTAAATTTTCTAGGTTTTAACCCAATGATTGGAAATGATCTAAAAGAACACTAGAATTTGAATTTGAATATGGAATTTGTTATTTTTAAACTCTCACGCATAGAAATTAGAAAATGACATCTATTTACATAGAATTTAAACTTGGAGATTGAAGGTCCCAAATTCCAAGTTTTTTTTCCATGCATAAATTCTAAATTTCTATGTTTATGAATCCAAACAAGGAAATTGGTGCATGTCAATTTATAAATTAGGATGTTTGTCTAAATTTCAAGTTTATTTCCCACATCCAAACATAGTATAACACACTCATCAGTATGTCTAAACCCTTACTCCACGTATGCATGTAACAAGTCCACCTCTATACAATATTCAATCTTGATCTCCTGCACATTTTTTCTTTAATGAAACGATAGTAGATTCTCATTCATAAAGAAAAGTCATTACAAAGGCCAATTAAGGCAAGGGAAGTCATCAAAGAGGGTGTCCATAATTATACTTAGTGGGTGATCCAACCAAACACAATCATGGCAAACCGTAAAACCATACCTAGCTAAACAATGGGCAACCTCGTTGGTTTGGCGGCATGAATGGGAAGAAGAAACTTCAGTGATCGTGGAAATCAAAGCTTTGATATCCTTAATAACCTGTCCAAGTGGGGAAAGATGACGTGAGGAATCCTTCAAAGCTTGAATGATCTGAAGCGAATCAGACTCAAAAAATCATCTTGTGAAAGCCCCTAGAACACACCCAAACCAAAGTCGAACGAAATGCCAATACTTTCGCCTGAATAGGGGGGAGAAGGTATCTCTGAAATTCCCAGCTTTTGCAACCATAAAAGAACCAACAGAGTCTTTGACAACAAGACCAAAGTCCCCAAGGTTTGCAGACTTCTTCCAAGCCCTTTCAATATTCATCTTAAAGAAATTAGGTGGGGGCAGCCCACATGGGAGATGAGAGAAAATGACTAAGGAATGCGTTTGTACTGTGTTGCCCTAGTATGCACAAATTCCAAAGTGATACATTGGGTCACAACCATAATGGGATTGTCCCAAGTGTCTGACCAAAACTTTTGATTTTGAGCACCCCAAATTGCCCAGAGAATCATGAGAGCCAATTTGCAGTTCCTGGATGAGAGTTGATTAGCCATGTCAATAATCCAATCTATAAGAAGAGGGGAGTTGAGGTCTCGTAATGGAACACCCAAATTCAATGCAAGGCATACACATTTAGTGAAAGGGCAGAAGCGTGATAGATGGATAACCGATTCCTCACGGCCATTACACATTACATATGAGAGGCTAAAGGTTATATGGCGTCGAGTGAGATTTGCATGGGTTGGGACGAAGTTATTGCACAATCGTCATACACATACCTTTACCTTCGGTAAAACATGAGATTTCCAAAGCTTGTCCCAGACCATGACAGATAGGGACAAAGATCCTGATAATGAACTGGTGAGCTGAACAATAACCACCCTTGCTAGGTAGTAAACACTCCGAACCGAGAACATGCCGTTCATCTTATGATGCCAAACAAGTGTGTCCGGAGGGGATCAGATGTTGATCGGGATTAAGAAAATGAAATTGAATTCCTCTGAAGAAAAGAAAGAATTGAGTATCTCAGTTCTTCAACCCTTCATATCAGGATCAATTAGATCACAGACCTTTGAAAAACTGCAGTCCGAAGGCTTAGGGGAAAAAGGCTGGAAGGTTGACTATAAAAGGATCTATGAATCTTCCCAAATATAGATTGAGCTTCCCTCCCTAACCTGCCAGCGACAACCCCGAGAAAGGATAGTCTGACTAGTACAGATGTTTTTGTAGTAAAAGGAAGCATCACTACTAACCCGGGCATCGAGGACATAAGTGTTAGGAAAATACTTAGCCTTCAACACTTAGGGCCACTAGTGAAGTTGGGTAGGAAAGAATCCTCCACCCTTGTTTGGTAAGCATTCCTAAATTGAAAGCGTAAAGGTTGCGAAACCCAAGCCCACCCTCATTCTTTAGCGTGCACAGTTGATTCCAAGAACACTAGTGTATCTTACGTTCCCCTTCATCCCCATTCGATCAGTATGACACAATGAGTTTTTTTAAATCCTCACATAAGTAGTTAGACACTAGATAGCAACACATGGTAAAAACAGGGATAGCTTGGGCCACCGTTTTTACCAAGATTACTTTCCTGCTATACTAAGGAGTTTCCCCTTCCAGTTTTGAAGCCGTTTCCATAACTATTCCTTAATGTACCCAAAGCAATTGTTGCGGTTTCAGCCCACAAGGGTGGGCATGCCCAAATATTTCTCATGTTGGGAGACACATCGAACACCTAGGATTAGATTCAACCAATTCTTCATAGGAGGTTTAACATTCTTGCTGAAGCACACCTTACTCTTGCTCAAGTTTATTTTCTTCCTAGATGCTACTTCATAAGCACGGAGGGCGTTCGTAACATGGATACACTCAGATGCATTGGCCGGACAAAAGAACCAGGCATTATCAGCAAATAGGAGGTGACTAGAGGTGGAGCTCCAGAGCAAATAGGCACGCCCTTGATTAAACCATCAACTTCAAGTTTTGCAATTTGGGTAGAGTGGCCCTCCTCACATAGAAGAAATAGGTAAGGGGAGAGATGATCGACTTGGTGAAAACCCCTAGATGGATGAAGATAGCCCATCTGGCAGCCATTAATAATGAATGAATATAACAAGGATGAGACACAAACCATCATCAGCTCTACCCATTTATGAGAAAAATCGAGTTTCATAAGAATTCCCCGAAGGTAACCTCAGTCAATCTTGTCATAGGCCTTGCATATATCTAATTTTAAAGACATAAGGACGTTGTTGGCTCACCGTCGTTTGAAGATGTGGTTGGAAACTTCGGCAACCAAGATTATATTGTCAGAGATATTTCGTTCGAGGATGAAGGCGCTCTGGTAAGGGGAGATAATGTTGGGTAGTATGACCTTGAGCCTATTAGCCAAGACTTTGGAGGCAATGTTGAACTGGGCATTGCAGAGGTTGATAGGCCTCAAGTGTGTCATGTTTTCAGGGTTTTTTTGCTTGGGTATAAGTGAGACCGGAGTAAAATTAATCTACTTTAACAACTTGCCCGAGAAAGGAATCCTAAAACAACATTCGAGACGCCATTTCCCACCACATGCCAAAATTGTTGGTAGAAGAAAGTCGTCCCGTCCGGGCTTGGTGTTGTAGAAGGGTCCATTTGGAACAGTGCAATCTTCACTACCTTTTCACAAAAAGTTTTGATCAAGGGATTGATTCATTTGAGCCATGACCCTGGGCTCAAGGGTATTGAGAATTGGGTCGCAGTTGATTGGTCCAGCAGAAAAGAATAAATTCTCAAAGTAATTAAGAACGTTCTTTCAACGTTCCTGTCGCCATAAACTCATACTCCGTTGTCACTTTTGAGTCGGTTGATGTGATTTTTAGCTCACCTGTAGTTAGCCCAACAATGGAAGAAGGTCGTGTTTCTATCCCCGTCATGAATCCAAAGCACTGAGATTTTTGGCGCCAACAGGCTTCTTCTTGGCCCAATCTTCTGCACCTTATTTTAAAAGAAAGAACGGATGAGAATTAACTAGAATATTTAATTAAATCTTAATTTTTTAGTTGTGAATAAAAACATGCGGGAAAATTTCCAATATTCAAAACTACTTTCTCTATTTGGAGGTTGGCTTCCTCCGAGGATATGGCGATGGCGGCGATCTAGTTTATGTTGCTTGAGATTAGGGTTTTTTTTGTTTGTTTTTTCAGCCTTCGGGCCTAAGCTTATGTGGGCCTTCCGTTGTATCTTGGGTTACGGCTCTCATTTTGCTTGGACCTAATTTTACTTTATCTGTTGTTGTTTACTGACTCTTTTTTAGCCTTGTACTAGTTTTTAATATAATGGAAGTTCTCTTCTTGATAAAAAATTATAAAAAAAAATTATACATTGGCTAATTTTGATGATCCTATATGTTGTGTCCCTTATGAGTTTAGTTTATGCAAGCACCATATTTTGCATCTATGGTTTGATTTATTGGAACTTATTCATAACTTTTGTGCTCATTATGTGAACAAGATAAATGCAAGCACTTTGGATGAGAGGTTAGGATCGAGGTAATTTCAGGGTGGATTGGATTGGAAACAACGTTTCTGAATTCCAATTTAAAATTTCAAAATTGAATTGGATTAGATCAGAATTTTCAATTCCTCTTTTAGTGATTATTCATCTACAAGGCTTCTACATACCATAAGTGACACCTAGCAATATGTCAT